AGAGTGAAACTCTATCTCCAAAATAAAACAAAACAAAACAAAACAAAATCTGCTATGTATAGAGAGCTTTTCCACTTGAGGTGTTCTTTTTTTGTTGTTTGTTTGTTTTTAAAGATGGGGTTTCATCATGTTGGTCAGGCTGGTCTTGAACTTCCAACCTCAGGTGATCCACCCACCTTGGCCTCCAAGGTGCTTGGATTATAGGCGTGAGCCACCACGCCCAGCAAGGTGTTCTTTAATAACAAAACCGTATTTATTTTGGCAATCCTCTACTGATGGTCATTTGTAGTTTCCAATCTTTTGTTATTCAAAGCAATGCCCTGAGTAACTTTGTAGATATGCCTTTCTTCACATGGGCATGTATACCTACAGGATAAACTTCCAAAAAAAAAAAAAAAAGGCTGTTCCATCAAATGATGGGTTTGTGTGTGTGTGTATGTATGTTTGCGTATCTGTCATTTTCATAATTTTACATAGATATTACACAAGTGCCCTTGAAATCAATTCACGTTCCTGTAAGCAATGTATGAGAGAGACTGTTCCCCCATATTCTCACCAGTACTATGATCAAACGTTTAGGTTTCTGCTAACCCAGTAGATGACAACTGGCATCAGTGAGTTTTAATTTGAATGTTTATTCCTATTCATAAAGTTGACCGTTTGCCAACTTATCCAATATGCTGAAGAATAACAATGTGACAAGGAGAAAGTACCTGATAAGGAAGCTGATTCTAAATGTCATACTGGGCAGAGTTCCTCCTTATGGTTGTGACTCCTATTTAAAGTGTTCAACTGTGCTAAAAACATTAGACCATCATATTGGCTGAGCAATGTTAGAATGTAAAAGGAAGCTCACTGACCAGCCACTCAATGGCCAGGTCAAGCTTTTCCTTAAGGTATCTGCCCTGTCCTGGGGTAAAGAGTGAGTATCCAAGAAATATTCACTCAGTAAATATTGAGGGCTTTCCTGGATCTTACAATCCAGTGAAGGGAGACAGAAAATAAACATAGTAAATAAATTACATGATTTGTTAGATGGTGATAGGTGCTATGGTGAATAATAAGACCAGATATAGGGGACCAGTAGTGGTCAGGTACAATTTTAAAAAGGGTGATCAGAGGCAGGGTGCAGTGGCTCACGCCTGTAATCCCAACACTTTGGGAGGCCCAGGCAGGCAGATCACCTGAGATCAGGAGTCTGAGACCAGCCTGACCAAAATGGAGAAATCCCATCTCTACTAAGAATACAAAATTAGGCTGGGCATGGTGGCTCACACTTGTAATCCAAGTACTTTGGAGGCCAAGGCAGGTGGATCACCTGAGGTCGGGAGTTCAAGACCAGCCTGACCAACATGGTGAAACCCCGTATTAAAAAAATAATAAAAAATAAAAATACAAAATTAGCCAGGCTTGGTGGTCCATGCCTGTAATCTCAGGTACTCGGGAGGCTGAGGCAAGAGAATTGCTTGAACCCAGAAGGCAGAGGTTGTGGTGAGCCAAAATCACCCCATTGCACTCCGGCCTAGGCAACAAGAGTGACACTCCATCTCAAAAAAAATTTTTTTTAATAAAAAAATAGGCTAGGCATGGTGGCTCACACCTGTAATCCCAGCAGTTTGGGAGGCTGAGGTGGGCAGACCACAAGGTTACAAGTTTAAGACCAGCCTGGCCAACATAGTAAAACCCCATCTCTACTAAAAATACAAAGAAGTAATTGGGTGTGGTGGTGGGTGCCTGCAATCCCAGCTACTTGGGAGGCTGAGGCAGGAGAATCACTTGAACCCAAAAGGCGGAGGTTGCAGTGAGCCAAGATCACACCACTGCACTCTAGCCTGGGCAACACTGGGAGACTCTGCCTCAAAAAATAAAAGTAAATAAATAAAAAATAAACAGTGATCAGGGCAGGTCTCATCACAATAATAACATTTAAACAAACGAGGTAAGTGAAAAAGTCTGCAGGATGGTAACATTTTAACAAAGCAGGTAAGTGAAAAATAGCAGCAGGAAGAACACCTGGGAGAGGGAACAGCCACTGTAAAGCTCTTGAGAAGGAGGGGTGCTTGATGTGTTGAAGGCACAGGAAGGCCAGTGTGGTTGAAGGGAAGAACAAAGAAAAGGGGTAGAGGAGAGGAGGAGGTGATGAGCTAAGAGATAAGGTCAGCCTTGCATGGGGGTGCACACTTTTAATCCCAAGTACTCAGGAGGCTGAGGTGAGGAGATTGCTTGAGTTCTGGAGTTCAAGACCAGCCTGGGCAACATAGCAAGACACCATCTCAGGAGAAAAAAAAAAAAAACAGAAAAGGTTGAATATTTCAGGGCCAGTGGATGAAAACAGAGGTACTTCCATCACTTCTCTCTGTTTGGTTCTTTTATTTTGTTGAGAAAGAGTCTCACTCAGTCACCTAGGCTGGAGTGCAGTGGCACAATCTCAGTTCACTACAACCTCTGCCTCCCAGGTTCAAGTGATTCTCATGCCTCAGCCTCTCAAGTAGTTGGGACCGCAGGCATGTGCCACCATGCCCAGCTAATTTTTTGTGTTTTTAGTAAAAACCACGCCCAGCCTTCTTCTCTCTGTGTGGTTCTTATCCACATCCTGCTGCTGCAGCAAGGACTTGTTTTCTAGGAGGAGGCAGAGGCCATCCAGTACTCCAGCTACTCAGGTAAACAGAGCAAACAACACAAAAGACCCAGGCACAAGGGAGCAATCAATATATGTCTGTGTGTGTTGGCTGAGAACTCCTGGCAACAAGAGGGCAATTCCTTGCCTTTTTCTCCTGCCATTCTGCTTTTTCTGAAGGCTTCCTTGTTAAATTTTAAGCCCCTTCCTTGTAGTGTCTGTGGTTTGAGCATCTCATAAATGGTTCACCTTGTCAGTTTATTTCCCCATTTCTGAATGTCTCCCATTTCAACTTCACCTTGGGGTGATGTTAATCACAACTACATCAGACATCTCCATGAACATTCAAAACCTGCCTTTGACAGCCTGGCCAATCAATGCATGTCACATATTATCTGTCCTCAACTTTCAGATGCGGGACAAACATGGCTACCGTTCTCGCAGAAAGAAGCACTGCAGGTGGCCAAGCACGGTGGCTCACACCTGTAATCCCAGAACTTTGGGAGGTTCAGGCGGGTGGATCACCTGTGGTCAGGCGTTCAAGACCAGCCTGACCAACATGGTGAAACCCTGTCTCTACTAAAAAGACAAAAAATTAGCCAGCCATGGTGGCTCATGCCCGTAATCCCAACACTTTGACACCAAAGCAGGAGGATTGCTTGAGCCCAGGAGTTTAAGACCAGCCTGGGCAATACAGTGAAACCTTATCTCTACTGAAAATTTTTGTTTTTTTTGTTTGTTTGTTTGTTTTTTTGCTTTTTTTTTGTTTGTTTTTTTTTTTAAGACGGAGTTTTGCTCTTGTTACCCAGGCTGGAGTGCAATGGCACGATCTCGGCTCACCGCAACCTCCGCCTCCTGGGTTCAGGCAATTCTCCTGCCTCAGCCTCCTGAGTAGCTGGGATCACAGGCACACGCCACCATGCCCAGCTAATTTTTTTGTATTTTTAGTAGAGACGGGGTTTCACCATGTTGACCAGGATGGTCTCGATCTCTTGACCTCGTGATCGCCCGCCTCAGCCTCCCAAAGTGCTGGGATTACAGGCTTGAGCCACCAAGCCCGGCCTTGAAAATTTTTTTTAATAATAAAAAAATGGAAAAAAAAACCCCAAAAGGCCAAATGGGAAAATCTCCTCAATACACAGAACATCTTCTTTCATAGGCAAAACCACCACCATTACTGAAAATTTGCTTCTGTGCAGTATCTTACCTAATGCTCTCTTCCTTGCATCTTTTAAATGCTAGTCCAGCTGGGAACAGTGGCTCACACTTGTAATCCCAGCAGTTTGGGAGGCCAAGGCAGGAGGATCATTTGAGGTCAGGAGTTGGAGACCAGCCTGACCAACATAATAAAACTCTGTTTTTATTAAAAAATACACCCTCACCCCCTCCCAAAAAAAAAAAAAAAAAAAAACCGACAAAAACCACAGAACATTGTTCACCAGACAGAATGGCTGCAGGGAAGAAGACGCCCTACATTTTCTATCGTAGCAGTAACAAAACTTGGGTGTCACCAACCTTATCATCTGTTCACCAACCAATGCAGGTCCAGAGGGGTCACAGTACTTAGATAAGGATGGATGGTTCCAACGTGTAACGAATCCTGCCGCTATAAGAAAGGCACTGAGCTGGAACCCACGTGAGGAGGATCAGGCCATTGTCCCTGGCACTGATGTGCCTCTATGGAAAGGTAGAGGCCAAGGCACAGGAAAAGTGAATGGGTAAAATAACACAAAAAAAGGTCACAAGTTGTTGCCAAGTTGAGGGCTTTGGGGTCACAGTGCCCAGAGGTGTCTGGTGCAGCTCCAGAGAATTTAACCTAGGGACCTGGAAGCGGCACAGTGCTGCTTTCCGAAACGGCTGGGTGTGAATTCCGCTCCTACCATTAACTAGTGTGACCTCAGTGTCACGTTGATTTTATTCCATCAACTTTACACCACCGTTCCCTTGCAGGAAAAATGAGCCCAAACAACCACTTCAAGGGATGTGGGGATGCAGAAGCGAAAATAGTGGCTGTTTTGCATATTCCTGGATCTACCTCTTGTCCAATAAATGTCATCCGTCAGGACTCATCTTGTTTCAATATCGCCAAAGAACGTCCTGCTGAGATTCTGTCCCATACATACCCTGACTGAGAGCCCTACGGTCTATCCCGAACCCCTCCTGGTGCCACCCTGTTCCGTGCCCCGGGTACAGGCAGAGGTGCTCAGCGCCGCACCCGCTGCCTCCCTCAACACCCCAGGCTGCCGGGAGCACCTCTCCTCCTGCGCACACCTGGGCCTGCCCGGAGGGCGCCCCCAGCTGTGTCCGGACGCCTTCCCTCCCCAGCGCTCCCTGTGCCGCCTGCGCCTGGTCGCGGAGCCCTGGCGCCCACCCTGCCCCTCACCTGATGTAGGGGAGGAAGGGGTTGACGTGCCCGGAGAGCACAGCCACCACGTAGGAGATGATGAAGGCGGCTGACGACCAGGTCACCAAGAGGAAGGGGACGAAAGCCATTCCCCTGAGGAAGCACAGCATCGCGCCGCCGCCGCCGCCGAGAGAGCGCTGCGCTCAGCGGGGCCGGGCGCCGGGTTGCTCCGGGTTGCTCCGGGCTGCCTGTAGGCGGCGGCCGGGCGCGGGCGGTCACGGGCGGCGGGACAGGAAGGCTCCGCGACGGGCGGGGCAGGCCCAGTCCGGGAGGGAGAGGAAGCGCGAAGAGCTGAGCGAGGCGGCGGGCGGCGGGCGGCGGGCGGCGGGCGGCGGGCGGCGGGCGGCGGGCGGCGAGGCGGCCGGGTCGGGGTGGGTGGGGCGCGGGCGGCCCGGGCTTGTTGCGAAACGAGTGAAGTCACAAAGCTGCCCGGCCGGGTCGGAGGCGCGCAGCGACCTCCCCGAGGACGCGGCGCCGGAGCCGCCGGAGGGGACGCGGGGGTCGGGTTCCTTTCGCTTTTGGTTCGGACACGGCGGGGGCCGGGTTGGGCGCGGGGGTGAGGCGTGGGGTCACCGGCTGGGACTTCCCACCCCGGCCTGAACGCGCTGGCTCTTGCGCAACTCCAGAGAAAAGGATTTATTTCTCGCAACCCCTCCTTCCCGGGGAGTTTCCGGAGTGCAGGGTCTCGCACCCCGGGGGCGCCCCCTCCGAGGTCCAGCCACCAGCTCGTGGCGGCGGAGTGAGTGGCCACCGCGTGGTGACACCCACGCCATCCAGTCTCACTGCTGCTGCGGGGGTCGGGCAGAAGTGTTCAGTGCCGTTCGCCAGGCCACGGGCGCAGATGTGGCTCCCACCTCGATGGTGAACCCCGAAAACCCAGACGGTGGGAACTGGTGGGGTTGGGAGTAGGCGGATGGGGTCCGGGGCAGGCGAGTGGGACTGAACTCCCACGGAGCCGAGAGTGCCATTGTGCTGCTTTCCAGCAAAGCGCATCTACGGAGTATTTGCCGGAAATAAGATTTCCAAGGCCGGGCACCGTGAATGCCATCACATTGGGAGGCATCCGAAAGCCATCACTCCTGGAATGCCATTACTTTGGGAGGCCGAGGTGGGAGGATCGCTTAAGCAGAAGAACTAGAGATCAGCCTGAGTAACATAGCGAAACCTCACTTAAAAAAAAAAAAAAAAAAAAAAAAAAAAAAAAAAAAATTAACAGCCGATTCCAGTTACTCAAGAGGCTGAGCTGGGAAGATAACTTAAGCCTTGAGGGTGGAGGCTGCAGTGAGCCTTGATCACATCACTTCACTCCTGCCTGGGTAACAGAGCAAGACCTTGTCTCAGACAAACAAAATTCCCTTTCTCCCCTCAGGTTTCTGGAATAGCCCAGACTTGAAGCCTTGACTTAAGATGATTAATGATGACTTGATACATTTCAAACCCTGTGAAAAGGATTTGTGTTCTGGAGGCGCTTATAAGCACATGATTTTGGTAATTTAGAGAGTCTGAACCCAACATATGTGGCCAAAGTTTTTGGGTCATTGGTAACCAAAGGTAGATTTCTTTCAACCACATAAACATTTCATGGTGCCAGGCTAAGCTACAAAGATGAAATAGTAATAGTACCCTCAGGACCAGGACATTGATAGATCAAAATAATAAAATTAGTCCAGGCGCGAGGACTCATGCCAGTAATCTCAGCACTTTGGGGGACTGAGGTGGGTAGATCACCTGAGGTCAGGAATTCAAGACCAGCCTGGCCAACATGGTGAAACTCCGTCTCTACTAAATATACAAAAAATTAGTGCGGTGGCAGGCATCTGTAATCCCAGCTACTCAGGGGGCTGAAGCAGGAGAATTGCTTGAACCCGGGAGGTTGAGGTTTTCTCAGTGAGCTGAGATCGCACCACTATGCTCCAGCTTGGGGACAGAGCAAGAGTCTGTCTCAAAATAAATAAATAAATAAAAACAAAATAACAAAATTGGCTGGGTGTGGTGGCTCACACCTGTAATCCCAGCACTTTGGGAGACCGAGGCAGACAGATCACAAGGTCAGGAGTTCGAGACCAGCCTGGCCAAGATGGTGAAACCCGTTTCTACTAAAAATACAAAAATTAGCCAGGCGAGGTGGTGAGTGCCTCCTGCCTGGGTAACATGCCTGGTACAGGAATGTCCCAGCTACTCAGGGGGCTGAGGCAGAAGAATTGCTTGAACCTGGGAATCAGAGGTTGCAGTGAGCCAAGATCGTGCCACTGCACTCCAGCCTGGGCGACAGAGACTCTCAAAAAAAAAAAAAAAAAAAAAAAAATTATGTGGTATATTAAATAGAAAAGAGAGGATTTTAAAAAGCAAAGCAGAGACATGCCCAGAGCTGAGGGCCAGCGGCCCAGGCTCAGATGGAGGACCAGGGAGGTTTTCTGACAGATGACATCAGAGTTTTCAAAAGGAAATAATTATTAACCAGGCAAAGAAAAATGAGCTTAGCATTCCAGGCCCAGAAAACAACAGGAGGAAATGCATAGACAGAGCTTGCTTTCCTGGGACTATGAAAGCACTTAAATAAGTTGGAAGCAGCAAATGGAGAGAGGAACGGATGCCAGTCACCAGAGCCCTGCTGAGAATCTTGGATTATTTTTGGTATTAAGGAAAGAGTAGGAACATGGGCAGACTAGTATTTCAAGAAATCACTGTGGCTGTGGAGCGAGTGCCCACCGTACAAAACAAAGCAGAAATTTTAAATTAAGGCTTTTTAAAAATCACAAAAACTGGCCAGGCATGGTAGCTCACAGTCCTATAATCTCAGCACTTTGGGAGGCTGATGCCTGGGCAATATAGTGAGACCCACTCCCCATAGCTACAAAAAAATTTTAAAATTATGGTGGCGCATAACCTAGGGTTCCAGCTACAGGAGAGGCTTAAGTGTGAGGATCACTTGAGCCAGAGTTTGAGGCTGCAGTGAGCTATGATCACACCACTGAACTCCAGCCTGGACCACAGATTGAGACTCTGTTTCAAAAATAAATAAAAAATTTTAAATGTCCAGGTGCAATGTAATCCCAGCACTTTGGGAGGTTGAGGCAGGCAGATGACCTGAGGTTGGGAGGTCAAGACCAGGCTGGCCAGTATGATGAAGTCCCGTCTCTACTAAAAATACAAAAAATAGCTGGGCATGGTGGTACACACCTGTAATCCCAGCTGCTCGTGAGGCTAAGGCACGAGAATCAGTTGAATCTGGGAGGCAGATATTGCAGTGAGCTGAGATTTCACCACTGCACTCCAGCCCGGGCAATAGAGTGAGAACCTCTCAAAAAATAATAATTAAATAAAATTTAAAAATAAAAAATAGGCCAGGCGCGGTGGCTCAAGCCTGTAATCGCAGCACTTTGGGAGGCCAAGGTGGGTGGATCACGAGGTCGAGAGATTAAGACCAACCTGGTCAACATGGTGAAACCCCGTCTCTACTAAAAATACAAAAATTAACTGGGCATGGTGGCGCGTGCCTGTTATCCCAGCTACTCAGGAGGCTGAGGCAGGAGAATTGCCTGAACCCAGGAGGCGGAGGTTGCAGTGAGCCGAGATCGCGCTATTGCACTCCAGCCTGGGTAACAAGAGCGAAACTCCTCCTCAAAAAAATAAAAAATAAAAATAAATAAAAATAAATAAATAAATAAAAAATAGGCCGGGCTAGGTGGCTCACACCTATAATCCCAGCACTTTGGGAGGCCAAGGTGGGTAGATCACGAGGTCAAGAGATCGAGACCATCCTGGTCGACATGGTGAAACCCCATCTACTAAAAATACAAAAAATCAGCTGGGCATGGTGGCGCGTGCCTGTAATCCCAGCTACTCAGGAGGCTGAGGCAGGAGAATTGCCTGAACCCAGGAAGCGGAGGTTGCGGTGAGCCGAGATCACACCATTGCACTCCAACCTGGGTAGCAAGAGCAAAACTCCATCTCAAAATAAATAAATAAATAAATAAAAATTTAAAAATAATAAAAAAATAAAAAATAAAAATTACAAAAGCTAGCAACCATGGTTCTATTGTAATCTCTAGCTAGGTTTGTGTGTTCTGAAAATTACTCTATTGCTTCCCTTTTTTCCTTTCCTGCTCTACCACTGATTCATCAGATTAAAAAAAAAAAACTTTCTAAGCAGAGAAATTACAATGTCAAAGGGAATTCGCCTCATCCTCTTACCCTTCTATTTCCTTAATTAAGCAATTCACTTGGCTAATCGCTTTTAACACAAATATAAGAGTTGTCTGACTATGGAGATAAGAATTTGTTGCTTAAGATGCGTATGTATACATATATATTTAAAATAAATACACTATTAATGTAAAAGTTCTGGAATTTTTTTTTTTTTTTGAGATAGAGTCTCACTCTGTCACCTAGGCTGGAATGAGGTAGTGCAATCTTCGCTCACTGCAAACTCTGCCTCCTGGGTTCAAGTAATTCTTGTGCCTCAGCCTCCCAAGCAGCTGGGACTACAGGTGTGTGCCACCAGGCCCAGCTGACTTTTTTGTTTTGTTTTGTTTTGAGATGGAGTCTTGCTCCAGTTGTGCAGGCTGGAGTGCAGTGGCGTGATCTCATCTCACTACAACCTTCACCTCCCACATTCAAGATATTCTCCTTCTTTAGCCTCCTGAGTAGCTGGGATTACAGGCATGTGCCACCATGCCCAGCTAATTTTTGTATTTTTAGTAGAGACCGGGTTTCGCCATGCTGGCCAGGCTGGTCTTGAACTCCTGACCTTAGGTGATCCACCCGCCTTGGCCCCCCAAAATGCTAGGATTACAGGTGTGAGCCACCATGCCCAAACAATTTTTTATTTTTAATAGAGATGGGATTTTGCCATGTGGGCCGATCTGGTCTCAAACTCCTGGCCTCATGTGATCCACTCACCTCGGCCTCCCCACATGCTGAGCTTATAGGAGTGAGCCACTGTACCTGGCCAAAAGTTCTAGAATTAAGAAAGAAAGAAAAAGAAAGAGAGCAGGAGAGGAGGGGAGAGGAAGGGAGGGGAGGGGAGAGGGAAAAACGAAGGAAAAAGAAAAGGAAGGAAGGAAGGGAGGGAGGGAGGGAGGAAAGGAGGGAGGAAAAGAAAAAATTAAAATAGATACAGGCACACCTTGCTTTATCACAGATTGAAGGCCTGTGGCAACCCTGCCTCAAACAAGTCTATCAGCACTATTTTTCCAATAGCATGTGCCCACTTTCATGTCTCTGTGTCATAGTTGAATAATTCTCAAACTTTATTATTATATCTGTTATGGTGAACTGTGATCAATGATTTTTTTTCTAGTGAAAATACACATGCA